TTTTTTTTTACATTACTAATCCACTACCACACTGAATTGTGGTGGATCGTTCGAGGTCTTTCACTACGTTTCTCAATAGTAGGGTCTAGCGTAACGATTTAATAGTTCATAGGGAAATTTCTCAGATCTTCAAAGTTGTTGCAGAAATTAGGATTGGTCGTGAATGGGGTTGATATCCAGTCTTTGTGAATTTGAGAATTTCGCACGACCAGGGTGCGTTCACTATGCTCGTAAGATTTTGTTTTGAAGAACATAATTTTATCTGTCTATTTTCGGGCAGTAGCCCAGGCTGGACGCATAGGGATTATTGGGCGAATAAGGAGATGAGATATTTTCTTGGGACGGCGTTTAACTCAGAATTTCTTCCAATTAATGAGTAGAGAGCAATAAAAGCGCGTTAGCCTTATTGTAACTTTGAATATGATCTTTGAATTTAGGGTTTTGTCAATATAGACACCTAAGTATTTATAGGATTGGCAACAGGAATATCTTGGTATGAGACGGTATTTATATTCACTGGATTTTTTCCTATATCCTGAAGAGAATACGCGCTTTTATCAGTATTTAGTTGATTGCCAGTCTTCCACAATGTTAATAATGGGACGTGGTGCGGAAGTTTTCTAAAGCATATTTGCTTCATGAACTGGTGGGTGACTGTGTCGTCGGCATATTGATATAGAGAATGAAAAGGTATAGGGCATATCATGTAATATTGTAAAAAGGTTCGGTCCAAAACAGCCTGAGCTACTCCACTGTAAATCACTTTTTTTGCAGATATTGCTTCACCACAGCGCACTTGAAAAGTACGACGTTTAAAATAATAATGCATAAGCTTCATAAAGCTGTTTGGTAAAAGGAAGTTAGATAGCTTTTGAAGTAAGCCAGCATGCCACACTCTATCGAAAGCTTTTTCGAAATCGAGGAAGCATGCCGCTAGTCCGTTCTTTTTTGTAAATTCTTGGGCAATAAATTCAACTAAATTTAGTATTTGATGTGTAGTACTGTGGCCTTTGCGGAATCCAAATTGATATATTGTCTATTAGATAAGGCGTTCTAGATGATGGTGAGCCGAGCACTAAGTACTCGTTCGAAACTCTTCCTAGCTGGCAGAAGACTGATGGGTCTGTAATTTTTGCTAGCTTTGGATCTTTTCCTGGTTTCGGGATGTAACATGATCGAGTGTTCCATTACGATGAAAAGTAGCTGAGTCTATACAAGCATTAAAAATTTGTAATTAAGACTATGATCTATAGGTAAAGCTTGCAATGATTCATTAGAAATCATGTCATATCCTTTAGCTTTGCGCTTCTTTAATTTTTTAATTATTTTCTGGACTTCGTTTGGAGATACAGACGTAAATAATTAATGCTGGGACTGTTGAGGATGCTATTGACATAGTAATTAATAACTTATTCGTGATCAGAATTATTATTTTCATGCTGTTTAAAAATATTTTCTAATTCTTTTGCATGGATTTCAGCAATGGAATCTTCGGAGTGGTGAAATTTGCCCATGTGATACAGGGGGTGAATTTGATAGGGTGATTTAGTGTGATTAGATCTGACTGATTTAGCTACTTTCTAAACAGAATTTGGTAAGATACGGTTTCTAGGAAATTATCCCACAAATTTGATCGATGGGTGGCTGTGTCTTCTTTTATTTTTCTCTTTAAATAATTAATATGACGTTTTTCAGTAGGATTGCGAGTAATATGCCATATTTTTCCAAGTCTATTTCTTTCTTGTATAAGGGATTTAATTTCTTCTGAGATGCCATAGGGATTTTTATTCTTGACTGCATAGGTATGATAGCGTTTTGAAATTTGGAGTTTAATCTGGAGATTTCCAGCTCAGTATCGCAGTGATAACGAAGTGTGGCTCTACTGTTTACAGAATTTAGCCGTTCGGTAACCATATACCAATTAACTTTTGAGCCTTGGAAGGGGATAAAGCCTAAATTGAAGCTGTAGGAGATGGGTCAGACGAAAGTTCTGGGAGAACATCAGATTAGGAAATTAGGAAGGTTTCATCAAAACTATATCTAAAATATCTCCGAGTCCGTTGTGCGTTTGGTGATTGGGAGATGAAATTGAGTTACTATGTGGATGAATTGTTTAAATTTTCTCCATTTATTTGTGACCTTAGTTCCAAGAGGAATGTTTGCATTTAATCACCGCTATTAAGGTGGGGTAGTTATTTTCAGTAAGTAGTTTCAAATCATTGAGATCAAGGGTGCTTGAGGGGGGATTGTAGACGGTGATAAAAAGAAAAGGTTTTCTAAAACCACTATAGATAAGTACTGCAGCATTTTCTATAGTACAAGCAGGGTTTTAATCATATTTGGCTGTTTTGATATGTTTTTAATGAGAATTGCGTTTCCTCCTCCTCTATTATGTCTTCTGTTTTTTCTGTAGATGCGATAGCCTTGTATTTTAAATTTGTCGCAAGAGCGGAGATGCGTTTCATTTACTAGCATAATACCAATGTTATGTATAGTAAGAAATTTGAAATTTCCACTTGTTGGTATCTGATACCGTTTGCATTATAGTAACAAACTTTAAGAAGCTATTTGTAGCTGAGATAAAATTTATTGACTAGTTGGATTTGATTAAAATTCATAGTTTAGATTTGAGAAATATTCGAAGGCCGCCATACTGACCTCTAGTTTGTCAAATATGGTTTTGCTGTTTGAAATTTCTGGAAGAATTCTTTAACTTGAGTGAATTGGATTTTTATCCAGTTCAAAAAAGCCAAGTGGGTTGAGTTTGTGTCTTCTGTTTTTATTATGTTTCATTTTCCTTGGAAGTGTTCCATGCATTTTTTGGTTTGTTCTCAGGGAGTGAAGGAATCCTTTTTGTTAAATTAAATGTTCTTTTTCTTTCTTCTTTTTAAAGCTTTAAATTCTTCGATTTGCTTCTGAACATTATAAGGATGTTTACCGCAACCTTTGTAGGAAGAAACGTGATTTTGCCCACAGAGGGCACAGACTGGGTATTTGTTGCCATTTTTTTGTTTGTTTACAAGTGAATGTTTCATGAGGCTCTCCACATTATAAACAGCGATGTTTATAGTGACATTTGTTCCGTGTGTGCCAGTACCTTTGTCACTTATGGCACTGCATAGGTCCAAAGCGATCTTTAAAAGGCTCGATAAAGACATCAAGGCCTCTGAGTTTCTTTTGATCATATATTCTTTTACCTTCTTTATTGCTAGTACATTCTGCTATAAAAACAGGAAGATGAACTTATTTTCTTTCAATAGAGTGAACTACTTGTCAAATTTTTTTGAATTGGGATAACTTCTTGGGCAATTTCGTTTTTGATTAGTTCCATATTAGCTGTTTTTGGAAGTTTTTTATTTATTGGCTTGATAGTCTTTTCACTGTTGAGTGTAAAAGTATGAAAAGGAATGTTTAGTTTAGTTAGGTATACAGTAACTGTGCGGTAGTGGTCTGAGTCATAAACTCTTATGGTCAGTGAACCTCCACTTAGGTTTCCACGATAGTTTTTGATATTTAATTGCTCTTCAAAATCTTCTTTTTTATCTTATCCCAATTCCCCGTGAAGTCTGCTAAGACTATAGGGGGAATGTGTCCTGTTTTTTGTTGGGTAAATAAATTCACCTTCCTCTGCTTCCATATTGTCTTCAGGATTTAGTTCCTCGAATTAATTTTTTTGTGCTGCTTCTTCAATTTCAGAATTTGATAGAGTTCTCTTATGATTTTTTTAGGGGTTATGTATTCTTCTTTATCTATTGTGGTTTTAATTTTGATTCTAGATTTTTGACTAGGAGTAATATCAGATTGACTTGTTTCCTGTGTGGATTATTAGGGTTCTTTTGTTCATTTCATTAATGTATAATTCTAAGATTTGTAATCCTTTTTCCAATAGCATTGACGTGGGTAAGTGAACTTCAGTCGCATTATTTGGATTAAATGAATTTTGATAAGCATGAAAATCAGAAAGCATAAGTTCTTAAGTTTTCCTAGTATCGCAGGTAACTTCCAGATTCTGATTACACACAGATTGATACGGTTTTCGATCGCCTCCTTTTCATGATATGCATGAATCTAACTTTACCTAATGGCGAAAAGAATAATGAAAACCTACTTATCGTGAACATCAAGAAGAAACGACAGCAACGCAGGATCAGCTTCAGCAGTCAGAGCAATGTCGTTTCCCTTACGTCACAAAATCGCAGGACTAAAGCAATGCCGTAGACAGAAAGGACAATTTCTCTAATCAACAGCAACACCTCATGCCAGCACTTCCAAATCTCGTCTGTTATGTTCCAAGTTCCAAGTTCCACTTATGCCGAGATTATCAAGCATTCTGCTTGATGTGTTCCGGCTGTCATCAGATGTTTGCTCTTTGGGCGCTGAAAAGAGATGAAGTTCGAAGTGTGAGTACAGAAGGGCAGGAGCTAATGGCGAAGGGGCGTGACCAGTTGTCACGTGGGCTGCAAGCTGACTTATCATTGGTTGCGAGTCTTCTGAGGAATATCTCGCTAAAATTGCAATTAAATACAAACCTCTGTTATGGAATCATAATTTCTCTTAAATATCCTGTCAGTTGCGCAGATCAGATGCGCTGTAGCGACAACCGTTTCATTCATTGGCAGCCAAAATGTAAAATTTTACATTTTCCGTCGAAACCTGTATGCATATCAATTTTGTGTCCAATCTTCTCGGTGTGTCGTGGTGCGTCGTTTTTTTTTTTTTTTTTTTTTTTTTATAAGAGTGTATGTTGAAATTGCATTGCAGCAGAGTTAAGTTAAGAGAGTGATTCATTTCTTAAAGGCATTGGCACAGAAACTATACTGGGATAAATATCATGGGAATTTATGTCAAAGGAGATATTTCATATCTGATAATATCTTTTCTTTCAATCAATGAACTTAAAAATGGGTTTCACTGAAAATATTTTAACTAGGTATTTCTTGTTAACACTGAATTGGCAACACAGGAATTTCGTTGCTATCTAAGACCATAAACCACTATGTTTATAAATGGTTGGACGGAATGCACATTCACGGGATTTATTCCTGTGTTTTCGTAAATTACTGAAACAAAAACTCTTGAAACCTAAATACTCTATGGTTTTGTAAGGCTTCAGGGGCTTGCTCCATGAGGTACGTAATCTTCGTTTGTGAACCATAAAATTATTTCACCGGAATACTGTGCACTTCAGCAACTTTACTATACTTTTTCTGAATATTATGAATACCACCGAGCAAATTTACGTAGTGAATTGTGTGTTAATTATATTCTGTGGAACAGATATCTTTATGATGTAAATCACTTTATATGCGATTGTGTTTATTGTATAACGATAAAAACAGTTTTGTTTTACAAATTAATGTTTGTAATTCGAAACGGTTATTTCTCTCTCTCTCTCTCTTATTATTTTATTTTTTCGTTTCCTGATGCAGATGACTGAAAAAAGCTTGATGATGAAAGCTTTTTAAAAGGTAGAGTATTAAATGTAAATATACATGATAAAAAAAATGTACTTCTGTTTTTGTCTGTTGGCAGCTATGCCGTTATCTTAAATTGCCAATTTAAGAGATATATTACGGGTGTGAACTTAATTATTTCCATTTAAGGATCTGTTATTATTAGTATTATGTTGAAAATTGTCAGAGTTTTAAGTTTAGCTCAGAACTCACTTTTAATAAAAACATCTCTTGTTCAGATATGTTTTTCTGCTCTAATCGCGCAATTTGACTGTTTACTATTTCAACAGATGAAATTGCAGAAATTGAAATGTTACTAATTGCCTATAATTTCAAATTATTTTGACCAGGAAAGCTTCCACGAGATTTAGAAAAAATTGCTATTTATTATTTGTTAAGCATTTTAGTAAAACGCATATAAGGCCTTTCTTCTTCTGAGGGAAAATTATGCATATTTTTATCTATGAAGAGAAATTATACTGATGTCTTAAGACTGCCTTGTCTTATATTGATGTCTATTTCATGCATATATTCTTTGGTAAAAGTTTACAATTGGGTGCCCCTTGTTTATTGGCGATTCTTTTTTGACGCCAAGATCGGCGCCAGGAAGTCACAATTTCAAGATGGCCGCAACACAAAACCAAAATAAGAAGTGGAAGAGTTGCATAAGATTTGTGTTTATGTACACATCAATCTGTTTTTACTTAAAAAAAATCCTAGAATTGCGCACTGCCTTAAATATGTCCATGTACACATCAATCTATTTTCATTTAAATAAAATCGGGAAGCTAAAACAAAGTTAAAACTATCGTGGTAACCAGAAGTGAGGTTTCATCGCCGAAATTAAAAAAAAAAATGTTGCCAATCGAAGGGGCACCCAATTCTACATTAAAGGCATATTCTTTTACTCGGCTGATTTTTGGAATATGGTAACAGGTGATTTAGTTATGATTTTTATGGCAATAAAAAAGTGCTTAAAAATTGTCAGCAGTAATCTGAAAATTTAGGGGTAACAATTTTACATACACTTTTAACAGCCTGCACTTAATAGGTTTTATGTTTTAAATAACTAAAATGTATATTTTCAACCACTTTTTATTAATTTAATAAAATGCATTACATAATTTAAATTTATTTATTTTTGGTCATTTTAATGTTTGTATTGTGAACTTCAAAATCTCCCCACCTCCTTAAGAAAGATTTCAGAGTTTTGAATTTAAAGAACAAAACAGAATTTATTATTTTTATTCTAGTTTCTTTAACGGTTTATTTAATTATGTTATTTGTAAATATGTATATTTCATCCTTGAAAAAAATTAATGCACAGTAAATCTGTATAAATATGCATAAAATATGTATGTATATTTTTTGCCATGACATGTTTGTATACATATTCTTTTCTCTTATTTCAAAGATTGGGAAAAGTGCAGAATCACCCACTGCTTCGTGCATTTCTCAAAATCGCCAACTTGAAAATAACAAATTGCACAAACTCAGTATCCATGTACACATCGACCTATTTTCACTTTAAAAAACATCAAAGAATTGCATAAACTTTTCATTGCGCCATTCCCTTGACTTCGTCCATGTACACATCGATACGTGCCATATCAGTGGCCGATTCTGCACTTTATCCCAAAGATTCACCATAATTTTGTTCCTTTTTTTCTCCCAGAATTGTAACTTATGCTCAAGTTTATTGGAACATTACATGTATAAATTTATCCTGAAAAAAAAAAAAAAAAAAAAATTTGTGTATACATTTATTCTGCTATTTCAGCAGAAGTTTCAATCGTAATTTCAAATAAAATTTTAGTATCTTTTTTCATCCTTTTTTTTTTTTTTTTTTTTTTTTTGGTGAACCTTTGGATTATGGTAACTTGGCGAAAATTTGGCGACCAACCCTGCTACAGCAACCTGCTGTTTTTTTTTTTTTTTTTTTTTTTTGGATGCCATTTTGTTTTCGGAAAGTAAAGGCATGGTTTTTTTTTTTTTTTTTTTTTTTTTTTTTTTTTTTTTTTTTTTTTTTTAACTGAAAATTTTTGCCAACAATCTGCTAGCCGAATTACGCTTAAGCTAGAACTTTTATGGAACAAAAGTGCTGGTAAAAGTATAGTTTAGGGTACCCCTTGGCGGTACATGGATACCAATTTTGTGCAATTCTTTGACTCGTTACAAGACAAACAATTGCACAAACTCGGTATCGATGTACACATCGACTTATTTTCACTTAAAAGAAATCCCCGAATTGCATAAAAATGGCATTGCGTACTCTTTTAACTTGTACACGTCGACCTATTTTCACTTTAAAAAAAATCCCTGAATTGCACAAACTTGCACTGCGCCACTCCCTTTACTTTGTCCATGTACACATCGATATATTTTCACTTAAAAAGTCAAAGGAGCACCAAATTCTACAATATAGGCTAACAAAAAATACATAATCTCAATAAAATACATTTAAAATCAAACAATAAAATAACATAAAAAAAAGGAAAAACATGTTATACATTTAAGCACTACCAAAAGCAAATATTCATTTGCCATGATTTTCGAGTTCGCTTCGTACACCCAGAGCCACGTAAAAATCGAAATATCAATCATACTCAAATGACTTTTTTCAAACCAGGTATTCTTTCTGATCGAATGCTTCACATAGTGACCATCTGAACCTTTTTCCTACAAACCCATTCAAATCCATCTAAACAGTTTTTACGTTTTCCTAGACGCATATCCTTCCTACATACAGGACACTTATAATGGCCACTAAGTAAACCTTCATTTACACACCAGTCAAATAAAGCTCTTTTCCCCTTTCGCTCCAAATCGTACAGAAACTTCAAATTAATCTTACTACATTCGGCCATTCTGCGGTCTAAAGAATCAAACCAACACACACCACAAAAACGCTTACAAAACATCCCATGATTCAAAATTTCCCAGAATCATGCACCCGATTACGTCACAAAATGGTTTCCATAACATTTAACTACTTAGGCTACCATAAATGAAACAACAACTTGGCGATAAATCAAACAACAACTGTGCGATAAATCAAACAACAACTTCGCCATAATATATGGGGTACCTTAAAATCTACTCTAACCAAAGTGCTTGATCATGATGAAGATTAGGTGTGAAATTGCCCACTGATTGCCACAAAGTGCAGAATCGCCCACTGCTTTACGCGGTTTTTAAGAATTGCACATGCGCAGTATCCATGTATACGTCGACCTATTTTCACTTAAAAAAACATCCCAGAGTTGCACAAAAAGGGCATTGTGCACACACTTGACTTTATTCATGTACACATCGACCTATTTTCACTTAAAAAGTCAAAGAAAATTGACAAAAATCCAATTCTTCTTACTCTTGTAAAAAGTGCCAAACAAATAAGTGGGCCATTCTGCACTTTAACAGTGAAATTGTTTCTAAGTGCTTATTAGCTAAAATCACGAATGGAATTTTCCGGAAAATGTCACAACATGTCTCATGATCTCTCATTTCTCCGAGACAAAGTAATCTGTGATTCGAACTGTGTACTTCTCAGATTATTGCTAAAGGCCTACCTAGTAACCTTTATCGCCTTACTAAAATGTCGCCAAACTACCTGTTACTATATTCCAAAGATTAGTCCTTTTTTTAAAGGTCAAGCATTTTGGTTGACCTGAAATACTTAGAAACAAAACTTAAAAGTTTTATGGGTACAGTAATTTGGCTCGGAATAAAAGCAGGAAGAAAATAGCCTCTCTTTCCCACCTCCCTCCAAAAAAATTTTTGAGCATATTGTTTAACATATATGTATGGTGTAAATGCTGTCCATTTAATAGAAAAGTGCCAATTTTGATGAAACTTTTAGTTGTCTCGGTGTTTTTTTACATCAAGTGCGTAAAATTATTCAATTACTTATACATAATTTGGTAACTAATACATCATGTTTGATCTGGAAAATTGTTCCGTTTGATCAGAGAAACTAGAAGTTGAATTTCAGTCAAAGCCTTGTGTAAGTACTGTTAAATGCTTAAGAAAATTTAGTGGTAATAATATATTTATAGGTGCCCCTTGGCGATAATTGTTGATTTTTGGTGGTACATGGACACTGAGTTTGTGCAATTCTTTGACTTGTTATTTTGGCTTTCGCTGCTATGCAAATCCAAAATAACAAGTCAACAAATCGCACAAACTAGGAATTGTGCACTCCCTTGACTTTCTCCATGTACACATCAATCTATATTCACTTAAAACATCAAAGGAGCAGCCAACAAAAATATATAATCTCAATAAACTACATTTTTGGCATCATCACATAAATTCAAGAACAATAAGAGTAAACAATATATCCTCTGTAGAGCCGTTCTGATGTTTGACCATGTGCATTTCCTTCCTACAAACAGAACACTTATAATGGCTACTAATAAACCTTTCATTTACACACCAGTCAATTAATGCTTTTTTCCCCTTTCATTCCAAATCGTATAGAAACTTCAAATTAATCTTACCACATTCAGCCATTTTACCGTATAAACAACAAAATAACAACATACTTCTTATCCATAATCTGACATATAAGCAAGCATTTCCAAATCTTTTCCCATCATTCAAATTCACTGCAGTCGCGCAACCAATTATATCATAATAGGGTTTCAATAGCATTCAACTGCTCAGGCTACCGTAAG